GCTATTAATGACGCTGCCAACTTGAGCGCTATGAATTGTTGATAGTTACTTAGGTCTAACTTTCCCCTGTCAGAATATGTATCGATTTAATTTGCATCAACGTTTTAAAATACTCAAAACTTACTTTGGGTGTGGCTCTGTGGTTGCCCCAGATCGCACGAAACTCGCGTAGAAAGTTTGGAAGGAATTTTATTGATAAAGTGCGCAGAAGTGGAATGATGGTAGACATGACACATGTTGCGCATGCGCATCCAAGGCGTACACTTGAAGCAGTTGCGGCTGTGGGCGAGTGTGCGTCTTAACCCGTCAACACCAACTCAGCGCAAAAGTCAACAACTGAACATTAGTCGTATCACTTTAAGGAGGATTTTGAACAAAGATCTTTGTATATATGAGTTGAAGCTAATTGAGCATCAACAACGTTTTCTCTTCGCTGATTGGGTTTTAAACAAATTGAATGATGATCCTGATTTGGCAAGAAAACATTTTCGGATGAGGCGCATTTCCTCCTTGGCGGTTATATTAACAAGCAAAACTGTAGAATTTGGGGCACCGAAAATTCTTACGTCGTCTTAAATAAGCCCATGCATCCAGACAGAGTCACTGTGTGGTGAGGATTTTGGAGTGGTGGCTTGATTGGGCCCTTTTTTTCCAGAATGAGGCTGGTCGGGCCGTTATAGTCAATGGCAACTATCGAGATATGATAAATGACTTCTTGTGGCAAGAATTGGAAAATATCGCTTTTGATGAAGTTTCGTTTTAACAGGACGGTGCGACTCGCCACACCGGGGCCACCATCAACCTTTTACGCACAAAGTTTAACAATAGTGTACTTAGTCGTTTTGAAGATGTTAATTGGCCACCGCGTAACTGTGATTTAACACCACTAGACTACTTTTTTGGGGCAAATTGAAGGATAAAATTTATGCGGACAATCCTCAAACAACTGACCACTTGAAGACCTGAAGACTTGAAGAATAGACCAGCAAACTGTTAATAAAGTGCTCGAGAATTGGCGTTCYAGAATGAGGTACTGCCGAGCCAGCAGAGGTGGCCACTTGACTGAAATCATTTTCCATAMTTAAACGGAATATACATTGTATCATATGAAATAAAATAAATAATAATWWTTTTTYYCYATTCTTATTGTTAATTTATAATTCAACCTATATATGGCCCACCCGGTATTAATATGTGAATTTAAAGAGACTTGGTGCTTAAAAAAATCGAAAATTATYTCGTCYYGATTTCGAGARCATGTGCTTTCCTCAAGACGGGGTGCAACTTGCATCTTACTGTCGATCAATTATCCTCCTCGTTCTTGCGATTYAACTCCATTRGACTTTTTTCTTTGGGGCTACATAAAGTCATTGGTTTACAGCAATTATCGAGCAAATTTACACGYTTTACATTTCAATATTGAACGAGTAATTGCTGTAGAGATCATGGAAAATCATGGTCAACGAGTTCATTCCCGCCAGCGATTTGGAGGACATTTAAATGATGTTTTGTKTSAKARGTAATGGTATCCATTGTACTTTATAATGAAGYAAAAGTTTCCATATKTKGTMAATMGATAATGTGTTTTATTTCCTAAACAAAATGGGGCCTACTTAATGAAATTCCGTTTAGATTCTTCAGCCTGTTTYTTATTACATGTCCGAATAGTTTACTCAACACCGGGAGYAGWATGATTTGGTTAATACTTTTCTGTTTGACTCTATAAATTGTAATMAAATTCCCGCTCTGAATGCATGAGTTAAATAYTTTTCCCGTTCAAAGSATAATGTGTAGGTCTACTTGATTTGGATTATTTATTAAAATAATCCATATAGAATTAGCGAGCCATCTAGAAACATTTCTCTTAATTAGCWYCATTGCTATTTTGAAWWCTCAAATACTCAAATAGGTCACGAATAATTGCTTAAGTGAAGCTAAGAAGACTTTCAACTGGCGACATGCTCTGGATTTTCCACTTAAAACAAAACAACTTCAGTCGTCCCTAAATAGGATTAATTCCATAGAAGTGAAGCTTTGGTTTAGTTTGCTTTAATGTTAGCTGCAGTGACTACATGGTGGATTCCATCGCTGTAGTGGGTGAAAGTGGAAACGTGATTTCTAAAGCTAAAATGTGAATTAAATACATATTTCTAATATTTTGAAACTAATCAGTAGTATATTATTTTATACGGAGGAAAAGTAATATTTTATGGCGCGCTCGTGTTAAGCAGCCGAACGAAATGAAACGTTAAAAGAATAAAAGACCAAATCATGAACATTACCTTTCCTCCAAGTAAATTGCGTTGCTTTTTTGAATGTTTACAAATGTATGCCAGAGTATGTGTTACTAATCTAATATATACAGTGAGGCCCAGAAGTCTTAAAAAAGTGATGTGAAGTGATAGACAAATCGTTCCATTTTCAGATGGTTCCAATGGTCCAGATTTAGGCCAATCACTGACATGACCAAATTCCCTGAAATAAGCTTCTATTCTACTCACCAACTTATGGAAAAGATGGTCACGGTGGATTTTATAAAAAATTGAGGTGCTTCTATTCGGAGAGGTCCTCTATCACCAAACCCAACAATTTGGAAAATTTCGATTTTTTCTCGTTCCGTTAACTTCACGATTTCAAAACCAACCGCAAAATGTTGATCTTTAAAATGTATTTTCGGATCACCCAGTGTAAATAAATTATTTTTAAATCTACAAATTTACAAATCCGAGTTTATTTCTAAAAAACACACCACTGAGCTTTAAATAAATTTAGATATGACTTCTGGAACTCACTGCATAAGTGTCTTTGCTTTGAATCGGTGATTAGATTCGTAGCCCGGATAAAACTGCATAAAACAATTTCTTCCGGCAGAGTAAAAGTGAATATTAGTGAAACACTCTACTTACAGGGGCGGATCTATTCGCTATCCAACGATGCCAAAACGAATTCTCTGGCTCGAATGGTTCTTGAGAAACTTCGAAAAAAGCAGCGTCATGTTCAAGTGGATACTTCCTGAATTCAAGCCTTTTTTGAGAAAACTGCCAACATTTCCCCATCCATGGTTTACTTTCTAAAAAGGCCATTTTCTGTCTAGAATGATGTACAAATGAGCGTTCTTGCTCATTTTGCCTCCGAGAATTGAGCAAAAATGGGACGGAAAACATGACATTTTGGCATAATCTTACACCCAAGTGTCTGATATTCAAATTTCTGGGTCAAAACTACTCGAACTTCCTCACTCATGTTGTTACGACTGAATCGACTTTTCAATTCCCTGTCCAACGATGCCAAAACGAATTCTGTGGCTCGAATGGTTCTTGAGAAACTTCGAAAAAAGCAGCGTCATGTTCAAGTGGATTTTGCAACTCA